CTCAAAAAAAAAAAAAAAAAAAGAAATTTAAGAAATGTGAATAACCCTACCTACTCAGGAGGCTGAGGCAAGAGAATCACCTAAGCCTAAGAGCTGAAGGTTGCTGTGAGCTGTGATGCCATGGCACGCTACCAAGAGCGAGAAAGTGAGACTCTGTCTCTAGAAGAGAAAAAAAAGAAAAGAAAAGAAATGTGCAAAGCAGGCTAGGTGGCTCATGCCTGTAATCCTCATATTCTGGGAGGCCAAGGAGGGTGGGTTGCTTGAGCTCAAGAGTTAGACACCAGCCTGAGCAAGAGTGAAACCCTGTCTCTAAAAATAGCTGGGTGTTAGGCAGGCACCTGTAGTCTGAGCTACTTGAGAGGCTGAGGCAAGAAAATCACTTGAGGGTGGTGCCTGTGCCTCAGTGAGTAGGGCGCCTGCCCCATACACTGAGGGTGGTGAGTTCAAGCCTGGCCCTGGCCAAACTGCAACAAAAAACAGCCCAGTGTTGTGGCGAGTGCCTATGGTCCCAGATGCTCGGGAGGCTGAGGCAAGGAAATCACTTATGCCCAAGAGTTTGTGGTTGCTATGAGCTGTGATGTTACAGCACTCTACCAAGGGCCACGAAGTGAGACTCTTGTCTCTTAAAAAAAAAAAAAAGAAAGAAAAGAAAAGAAAGAACGAAAATCACTTGAGCCGAAGAGTTTGATATTGCTGTGACGCTCCACCAGTCCTCTACCAAGGTCGACAAAGTAAGACTTTGTCTCAAAAAAAAAAAGAGAGAAAAAAGAAAAGAAATGTGAATAAACTGTGAAACATACTTTTTTCCCCCAGTCCCTTCATAATTTGTACTGAGAGCCCCTATAACAAGTTGTAGCTGCCTTTTTTGTTTGTTTTAAGAAACAGAGTCTTACTTTATCACCCATGGTAGAGTGCTGTGGCAGTGTCACACAGCTCACGGCAATCTCCAGCTCCTGGGCTTAGGTGATTCTCTTGATTCAGCCTCCCAAGTAGCTGGGACTATAGGTGCCCACCACACAATGCCCGGCTATTTTTTTGTTGTGGTTTGGCCAGGGCCTGGTTTGAACTTGCCATCCTTGGTATATGGGGCCAGCGCCCTACTCACTGAGCCACAGGCACTGCCCACGTTGTAGCTTTCTTAAGTGCTCTTTGTATCTATGTCGTACCTGCTTTTGTACAGGAATCAATTTTATGACACCAAGGAAGAGTAGTTAAATTTCTGGAGAAGACAACTGGCTAGTTGGGCATAACAAAATGCCCATTGGCTATGGTTTTTTTTTTTTTTTTTTT